CCTGTTTCATTGTAAACAGGGCAACTTTAAAGTTTGTTGGGCCCATTACCCAAACCAATTCCAGCCTCAGTTTCCCCTCTTATAGTTAGATCTGGTTCAGATTTTACACAATAAGCAACCTGTGATTTGTGTCTGGTTGGAGCAGAGAAGCTTTCTGATACTTTTCTTGCCCCCTCACCACCCCACTTGGCCTGTTCTGGGGGTCACTGCTGCCTTGTGAAAATCATTTCTCAAACAGTTTAATATCTCAAGGTCAATGCAAAAAATGAGACACATAACAACTGAAATCCTCTAAAAACTTTGTAGCACCAAAAATGTACCATTTTGTGACCAATTCACAGCACCCTTTTTTATAGGATGCCCTTTCGGTACTAGTACAAAGTCAATAAAGAGGCAACAGAACCATTACGTTATAACTGTTATTTTATTTGACTATGTGAGAAATCAAAACACCATCATTATATACCCTCCTATTTCATTTCCACTGCATGGGCAATGTCACCCACTGATACAAAGCCAGGAGGTCTCAAATCCTCCATCGGTTAATTTTGACCTTAGGGCTGAGAAATGGTATTGATTTCTTGTATGTAACAATGAAATTTAGCATTATATATGAGAAAAAGAGAGAGCTTGGGTTTAATTCTTTAATTTATACAATATAAAGTTCTTACAGTTCATTTTATTTAAAGCTTTAGTGTTTTATGAAGTACCTGCGTAAAGATAGCGACCACTTTGTCAATGATACACACCAACTTTGTAAAAGTTCTTCTTACTGGTGGGACTTCAGGAACGTTCCTCCTTTGTATGCTTTTGTAGACTGTTTGCATACTCTGACTCCAGCCTGGGTGCTTTCTCTTCCTTTTCCTGTAAAACTTAGGGCAGGACATTGTATAATGACAAGTGACCAAGAGAGAGAGAGAAAAAAAAAAATCAATTTGTAATCTGATTTGAGGGTTTTGATTTCCTCTGATGAGTTTAAATTTCATTAAAAGCAACCTTATTCGAACATAAAAGAACTCCTTGAAGGGTAAAACAGGGAATTGTCTCAAAGAGTATAAAGAATCTCAACTCCTTTGTGCTATTTATTCACGGCATTAATTGTGAGGTCCAACAGGCGGTGTCGGTTGGCAGATGCACCATTTATCGGCCCCACGATCTGCACGAGGAGGGGGGAAAAAAGGCACAAGGGCTCACATTCAAAACTCATCCTTTGGTGTATTGACACTTCAGTTATCAACAGCCCTTATTATCTGCTTAGTGGCAGATCGCAGCTTGCTGGTGACATAATAAGCTACAAATCACTGATGGAGCCTTTCTGCATTCTCCTAATTGTGTGTATTCTCTAGGAAAAAATTATCATTGGGGCTCTTGTCTTGATGAGAAATTGACGTTTTCTGGCGGAGCCTGGCGAGGACTATGTGGGGAGATAAGACTTATAGTTGTTTTAAAGGAGTGGAGCCATTCTTTGAGAGGCCTCTTTATTGCTCTAGTTGACCCACTTGATGAGTATGGATTTCATGAGGTCTTTTTCAGCATTTGAACTATAAAAGGTTCAGAATGACACCACCCCTTATAGACAAAAGATAACCTTGCCCTTTGAATATATTGATTCTTTATTAACTAGGCTGTTTAATGCAATGAAATGAGGCATTAGATTGAAGCCTATTTCAAGTGCTTTGAATAATCTTTAAAAGCTTGAAAGACTTTTAAAAGCTGCTCTGCAATAATTGGCATATACTTTTAGGGATTTTGTTCCTTCGCTTTGATTAAGGAATTTTTATCATCTTCCTATGCCTAAACTCACTGTAGCTGACACAACATATTTTCTCACCAGGGCTATTACCAAGTTACAGATAGGGATGTGTCATAGGTGGTGGATTGCTCTAGGACGTGGTGTTCCTAGCACAAAATCTATGGGTTTCCTCCTTTTGTATTTCCTTTGCATTGGAAGTTAGATGAACCATTTAGAGGCTCATTATTCAAGCCTTTGAAATAAACCTAAAAGAGAAACGCCAGCAGGCATCACACAGACTTTCATCCCTAAAAACCATCTTATTTTTTAAGGGGATGTGTCTGATTATGCCACTGTTTAAACATGATACATAGATACACACTCAAAGAAGTGGAACAATTTTCAATACACAGTAATAATAACAATAATAATTCTAAGTGCTCTCTACTTTTAACATTTGTTTTCATCATACATAAAAATTACGGAAATACTGGAGAAGAAAGGAAACATAGTTAAATATCCTGGTTTTCCTGCTTTGTAAATTGTGGCTACAGTAAGCTGCACCTCCTCATCACACTCCATCACTTAACTGCTGAAACACAGGGTGATGAAGGAAAGAGTCCAGCATACAGCATGTCACTGGACAGTATAGACACATGCACAAGCACATACATTTACTTTGGAACTCAGAGTTTCTCAGTGCCCTCTCAAAGTTGTCAGCAGCCCTGTGATTAATGGCAGGATAAAAACTCACATAACAAACTCCCAGCCTTACCAGCATAGGTGCTGCTGTTGCTCTGACTGCTGTGCACGCAGCCAGACCCATATTACTGTACAAATACCCTTCTTCAGTGTGGTCACACACGTGGCATCTGGAGTAAAGAACTCAGACCTGTACTTCAGGCTTAGCTTTGGAACTGTCTCCCACAGGAGCACCCTTTGACTAGGAGGCCAAGTCATCCCCACCCCAGTGTATGTCAAGTACGTTATATGTACATCATACATACTGCAGTGTAGGGGACGAAATGTTTGTGTTCAGTCTTATAATTAACAAAAGCATTTGCTTCCTTATCAGCCTTGAAAGACACATTTGTCAACCTTCGGTGTCAAACCGCTGCATGGAAAATTTGGGTTGTGCTACGTTTAAAATACCTTTTCCTGTTTACAGACTTTTACAATATGATATGAAAATAGAAGAAAAATAAAAATAAAAATTAATGTTACCTTCACATTACCAAAAGGGTGGCTGAAGCACAGTTTGGTTAAATACTTCCCTGAGGCTGAGCAACAAGTCATTGCTGAGTTCCAGAACAGCGGTCTCCTTCCTCATCATCTTCAGGATGCATAAACCCACATATAAAGGGCTGTGCTTTTGCTGAACCAAGATGTAGCTTCGCATTCTGATGTTTAGAAATGAAACCCCCAGTGTTGCATTCTTTTGTTTTGTGTTTAGTCACTTTTTTAATAATCAAACCAGATAAAATTACTAAAAAATGAAATTCACAGACAAGAAATACTTTAATTAAATATTGTGTAAAATGAACATTTTTTTTATACAGTTAAATATATGAAAAAAATGTACAGATAAAACAATCTTATTGTAGGGTCTTTAACAGTAAAATCTACCATTTAGTGAAGCTTTCCGTCTGGAGACAATGAAGCGATGAGTGCATTGACTAAGTAATCTAAAACACAAACAGATTGCAGTTATGAAGAAACTTGCAGACTTTCTTAACATGTACAAGTGACCTCTTCTGTAGAGCAAAAAACCTTACTTAGACAAAATATAACGGAGGCAATTCAGTTCCAAAGTGACTTCTCAGGCTTTCCCACTTAGCTAAGCCTTATAGTTATCACACAGGAAATGCGCGCGGCATTCCTCAGCTGGGATTTGCTGTATCGTTCTTGTCAACCCTTCCATAAATGCTATGCTAAAATGTGCATATTTGCCCAGAAATTAACATAAAAAGAATTCAAAAATGATCCCTCCTTTTTGGTTCAAACTAATTCTGCTGCAGTTTGCAGCATGTTTTGCAGTGCTGCATTTGCAAACCATTTAGTGCAAAGGAAAAACAAAAAGAAAGGAAAAACAAAACTCCACGTTTCTCTCTATGGATTTGGCACCAACAGCCACGATACATGACGGAGGTCATTCCAGTTTAAAAAGTACAGTCACCTGTGGGTCTGTTACAAAAAAGTTCCGTAAAAAAAACCTAATAAACCTAAATAAACCCCAACCATTTAAAAATTATGCATGATCCCGATTGATTTCCCAGGAAACCTTTTGTCTGTTTTAAACAGTGCAGGGTTTGGGGGACTGCAGAGTGCAGCAGAAAAGAGACACATCAAGGAGTGACAGAATTGTACACCAGGTTTGTGCTTCTTTTTGTTTTACACCAGAACTCATCCAAATGAAGTAGTATTAACACTTGTGGTGTAAGCCTGTGATCAACCAGCACAAAAAATGTTCTGCAAAGAAGTTCACTTTTAAGGCATCAGAGAAGTTAATGTGGCAAACATTTTTAATTAAAACATCAGAAGTGAATTTATTTTAAACTTTAGGCCTCTGAATTTTTTTCCAGTAAACACAGTTCAGCTATGTGGCAAAGTCATGGGTGGCAGCTAAAAATGACGTTTTACAACCTTTTTTTTAGGGAAAAAAAAAAACAAACAAAAAAAAACCCACAAAAAAACAAAACCCTAAAAAAAATTTTAAAAAGGGGGGGAAAAAAAAACAAAGAAGAAAACAAAAATAAAAATGCAGCCACAAAATAGATTCATCTTTTCTGTGGCTGTATCACATGCACATATTCTACTAGTATTCATTACAGCCATGTGGCACGATTTGGATTTGACTATACAACAAACGACTTTTTTTTTTTTTCAAAAAGTATTTGTTCTGATAACTTAAAAATAATATAAAAATAAAGGATGAATTTGACTTTTCCTCAAAAATAATAAAAAAAAAAGGAAATTATGGAAAGTCTAAATTATAGCAACTTCCTGAAGTACAAATGAAATGGACAGACACCGATTTAAAGAAAAGCATGAAGGCAACGGTTCTTGGCTTAATGCTATTCTCAGCATCACAATACCAGGCCATGACAAAAACCAAGACATCCAAGGAAAAAAAAAAAACAAAAAAAAAACAAAACCCAAATGATGAAAAGCAATATACAAAATTTCAAAGATAAATACAATATTTATAGTTGATATGTTACAAAATAAAGTCCCTTAGTGACTGCAAGTGTTTATGTGAAAGAAAGTGTTGCGATGAGTAAGACTATTTTATTCCTTACAGGCTTTCATAAGGAATAAAATCTGCTTTTCTAAAGGTTTTGAAGTGGATCTGAAAAAAAGTCAAGACAAGTGTATAAATATTTAGCTACAACTTTGGCAAAATCACAAAAGTCTACAATTTTATAACCACATACAAAACACATTAGGGGAGAAGGATCTAGAAGTCAAAAGGACAATTTTCTGGTACAAGAAACATAGACTTCACAGTAGCCTAAGAATGCAATAGTATACAGTGCTAGCAAAAGTTGAAAAAATGTTGCAGATCACACTTGCTTAACAGGAAGCTCTAGCAGTGGAAGTATATTTTTGTCTCTTTTTGTTTAACCAACAGACAGTAGCAATTCCTTTCTCTGTCAGTGTGCTTGTTGAAGGCAAGAGAATTCAATATCAAAGTTACAATTTCTAACTACAATAAGTTACAAAGTTCCATTTCATTAAGATGAAGTTAAGCAACGAGAAACCCTCCCGCGCCCGCCCCGCTCCCCGGTTGTCGTGGTTTTATTTTCCTAATCATATATTTATCCCTTTTTTTTTTTTTGCTTTTTTTTAACATTTTTTTTTTCCAGTTTGATGGCTCATAACCTCCTTGGCCCCCTTTTTGTGTTTTTGTTTTTTATTCCACCACAAAAAAATATTTCACATTATAGAGATACACAACCATTGTGAATCTAGTTATGAGTACAGAAAAATGTTCGGAGGCATTTTTCATCAGTGTTTCATGATAATCAAAATGGTGCATCCACAAAGTTTCTCCCAACACATAGCAAGTACTAGACATAGCCAAGACGTAATCAGAAACTTTATACAAAATAGGCGTCGCTTTTTCCTTATTCTTCAGGACTGAGAAATGTGAAAATATGAGAAAAATTCAGTCAATAAAATGGAATTGTTCATGAAGAAGTAGGTTGTTTGCATGTAGATTCTTAATAGTTTAAATAAAATCTTTAAACAAAGTCTTTTTTTTTTTTATTTTGTGGGTTGTTGTTGGGTTATTTTTTTTTTGTTGTTTTTTTGTTGTTTTTTTTTTTGTAGCATTTCCATTTGCTGCTGATTCTGTGTGAAGATACTGTTTCCATCAGCATGTCTTAATATACTAAACTTGTCCCCTAAGCTCATCCTCTGAAGCTTGGTGCTACGGTAGGTAAACAAAAGTGACTTTACATTGGCGGGACTACAAGCCCAGACATAGCTAAAAGAAAAAGAGAAGAGAAAATGAGCTGTTATTAACACGCTTGTGTAAAGGCATATTGGGTTCAAAGCAATCGCGATGCTCAGCACTGGGAGCGGGATGGGGCGGGCGGATGCAGACCTGGGTACCTCCACACCATGCCACGGCATCCTCTGACCAGGGGGGCATGGACACGTGCTTCTCCCAGTGAAATGCTCCATAAGGGCTTCATGGAGTGGGTTTTGGTGCACAGAGCATGCCAACACCAGCCACCACTTCATGACCCAGCATCCAGGTGGAAAACCTCCCATTTCCACAATTGTACTTTGTGGTGACAGAGGGCTGAGCATGTCAAGGGCTCTCTAAAACCAAAGCCAAACATCCTACACCCACTATCAACTCTGGAGGTCAAGCACCATAAAAAGCCATGAGATTAATACCCCTGATCAGCCACCTCCTGGTTTGTTAAACAGATAAAGACTGAGATGCCAACAAATGCAGCTTTTTTCCTAGTTAACTCTTTGGTAGAAACTTAATTTAGACAGTCTTTAATTTTAGTGTTGTTTAATTTTTGCCATGATATTTCTCCTTAATTTATGTACAGCAGATATTAATAAATTTGTTCGTGTAGTGATGTGAACTTCAATTTCTCAGTTCATTAATTTCAACAATATTAATTTATTTCAGATTCGCTGTTGCAGCTTTACGGTTTGGAAGAGCTGGGTATGTACACATTCCATACATCACACAACCTCCTACGGCAGCCACCAGGATTGCTTCAAGTGCTCAGGTGCCCCAGATGCTGTAGGCAGCTGTGTGAGCTTATGCCAAGGGAATTATGTATGGGACTGTCTCCTCTAAAACATGTCAAATGGTGCTCTTGAAACAGGTTAGTTTCCAATTATTCTACTTTCTTCCCCAATAAGATGTATTGAATACTCATTGAGATCAGCCCTGAGGACTTGGGGTGTTAGTCAATGAGATGCTCCCCATGACCCGGGTTCAGTGTGTGCTTGAGCCCAGAACCTGCCATGGGCTGGGCTGCACCCCCAGATTGTGAGCAGGAGGTTGAGGGAGGGGATCCTGCCCCTCTGCTGCACTCTGGGGACCCCCCCCCCCTTCCCCCCTGCAGTCCTGATCCAGCTCTGGGGCAACAGCACAAGAGGGACATGGAGCTATCTAGTGGAAGGTGCTCCTGCCTGTGGCAGGGCATTGGAATTGGATGAGCTTTGAAGTCCATTCCAATATAAACCAGTCTGGGATTCTGTGATTTTGTGAAATATGTCAAATTGAAATGGAAGTTACAATTTTGCATAGTTTATAATGCTGCATGTTTTAAACCTAAATAGTGATAGAAGTTACAAAACTTAACTGGAGAACAGTGCATATATTAGCAGAGAACCTTCCAATCCAAAACATTTTGTTTCCTCATCATATTTCCCCTGCATCTCCTCCACTCCCCGCTACATTAGCCTGGGCCAGCAGATGACCTAGCTCTGTGGTTAGACTTGCTGAACCAAGTGCTCTCTTGGTTGACTCCTATGAGTTTACACCACATCAGGCATCCCCAGACAGGTTGAGTTACATGGGGTGCACCTGATCGAAGGGCCATGGAAGATCATTTTGAGGTGCCGTTATGCTGCAGTACAACCATCAGCTGCCCTGGATGTCAAGATCACCACAAGTCAACCCAAATACAGGGTTATCTTTTCTGGGTTATGTTCAGCAGGGATCGGGCATTGCATTCTATGTCAAGGTGAGGCATGAGGTCCATTTGTCACAGCCGGCTCAAGGCATGTTCTGCCAGCAACGTGCTAAAGTCCAGGTCTGATCCAGACATTTGCTTCTTCAGAGCAACTTAGCAGGAAAACAACCCAGATTTTTCTTCCAGAGACTGTATAAATACCTTCATAAATAGCACATCATTACTTGGTACTGAGACCCTGCACATCTTAATCACACATTTATCTTAATCTCATGTTTTGCTTCTGCTGTGTGGATATTTATATAAAGCAGCTTGCTTTTATGGGTGGGGGGAGGGAAAGTCTGAATTCTTTAATTTAAGCAATTTAGTCATTTTTTGTTGAATTCTATCTGTGGCACAATGGGAGGGGGTGCAAAACTGGTGCTCCAAACATCTCTTTCACTATATATTTTAGCAGCAACATTTGACAGCTGTGAATTCCTGCTGTGCAAACTGATACCAAATGCCTTCTAAAGAAAAATGGGGTGGCTAGTTTTTTAATAATAATTGTAATAGTTTCATCCAAGGGAAGAGCAGAAAATTAAGCAGGATGCAATTTTAAAGGAATATCGAGAACCTTTTGCTCTGTATTAGAGTCATAAAGCTTAACCAGAGAGCAATATCTTTCACAATCTATAGAAAGTAAATTACAATTGAAAACCAAGTTTGAGCACACCTTGTAGTTGCAACTTTGCAGCAAGCCAGCACTTTCTCACTAAAAACATTTTTTTATACTTTAAGTGTCCATTGTTTTAAACAGGAAAAAGCCCTTTGCTCTAAGGAACCCGTACCCTAGCATCCTGCTCTTAAACAAAAATGGAAGCACTTCACTTTGTGGTCATAGACTATGAAATGGAAGTCATACAGAGTTAAACAGAACGTGGCTTTTTGGATAAGGCCCAAAGGCCTCCTTTTGTAGACTTATAGGAGGACAAAGTGGGATAGGGATTGGAGTAACCTGCTCTAGTAGAAGGTGTCTCTTCCTGTGTCAGGGGGGTGGAACTGGATGAGATTTAAGGTCCCTTCCAACCCAAACCATTCTATGATTCTATGACAGAGTGAGGTATCTCCTCTGTGAAATAAAGCTTTCAAGTTTTGATCCTAATGAGGTTATCAGTTGGCTGAGGATGGATGCGCAGCTGGTGGGTGGCACACAGGCACATCAAGAAAGACCATGTTAGCTCTGGCTGGCATTGCCTGCACCCTGACCTGTCTGAGATTTCTCTTTTATTCTTTTTCTTCATAACTCCTCTCTTGGATGTCTTTAGAACAAAAGTGAATCCCCTTGTTGGCTATAGACCTCTCTATGCTCATACTTTGGTAGTCCTAAAATGCAGAATGGCTTTTTGAGGACATGCTTACTAGCAGCAAGATCTTGCTTCTAGAGTGGTGGGCTTAGGTGGTCCTGATGCTTAGGGTGATGTTATGACAAGCCATAAGTCCTACCACCTCAATCTCTTCTTTAAACTATGTTAGGAGAAGAAACAGTCCAACTGAGGTCCGATGGGCTTTCATAGTTCTGCTCCTGCTTTCTCTCTATTTTAGAAGTACCAAGAACAGCATTTTTCCAAATACAGACAAATCCTACCATGGTTTCCCCAGCAAGGATCAGTGTGATTAACCCCTGTAAAAAGACTACTTGTGTCTGCAGAGCTGTCACATGTTGGGTTTGGCCATGCTTTCATCTGACTGACTGCACAGTGCTAACAAACCTTCATAGGAAAAATGGGGCTGCCCAGCCCCATCATGTTGGTATGTGATGCCTTGTCATAGCAGGGTCCACCAGCTTCCCTGAAAACCACCTATCTAGTTTTTATCTCAGAACAGAGCATATGTGGGGAAAGGTAACACAACCAGCAATGAGAGGGAGCATATTCTGTGCTGTGGTTAAAAAAAGCATGTCATCCTTTCCTATCCAGATTCATAAACTGCAGGATTTACCTTAGGTGCAACCACAGTGACCACCAGCTCTTCCTTCTATCTTAGCTTGTCTGAATGTATGTGACTATTCCTAACAGTGCAAGCTCCTCAGCTGTCACTCAGCTCCATCACATCCTGCTGTATAATGAGTTTGCACACTTGAAGATCACTGAAAAACTTTGGCTGCTTTGGACTGCAGCTCTTGAATTCCAGATTTTAATTTAAGGTAGAAAATGGGCTGAGCAAAAAACTCTCAAGCTGCTTGTACAGCTCAGAAAGCAAGTAATTAAACTTTAAAAAGGGGTCAGTGTTAAAAAATGACTAAGAAAATAGGAAAAAGGAAGCAGAAACTCCTAAATAACTGTACAGGTGAAACACAGCATAAACAACAGTGATGAGACATTGGCACAGGGTGCCCAGGGAAGCTGTGGCTGCCCCATCCCTGGCAGTGCTCAAGGCCAGGTTGGACACAGGGGCTTGGAGCAAGCTGCTCTAGTGGAAGGGGTCCCTGCCTGTGGCAAGGGTTGGAACTGAATGAGCTTTGAGGTCCCTTCAACCCAGTTCTTGTCTGTGATTCTATGAAATTCATCCCTGTCTTGCCACTCAGTTCTGGCTGTATTTCAGTTCCAGGCATTGGTTGAGATAGGTGAGGACAAGCTGACGGAAGCATTGTCAACCTGAAGCCTTTCATGGGTTTGGTCTGAATTAACTCAATGGCTGCCTGCTATGATGCTAAAGGAACTCACTGCAGGTATGTCAGATGTGGTTTGATTTTCTCCTCAGCCCAAGCGAACCTGCACCCCCATATTTTACCCTTTGCCAAAGTACCCTCTCACAATGTGGAGCATCATCTCATGATGTGCTGTGCTACTTTGGATGAATAAGTCAACTTTGTGTCACAACCCTGGCACTCAGTGCTTCAACTACCGGACTAGAAAGGTGTTCTTGCTATTTCTGTGGGTCATTTTGTTCAATACAGAATGATTTGGTTTAGTTCCTTTAGACAGGTGAGGAAAACATAACAATTTATATTTATCTATTAATGTTTAACACTTCTATTTATTTTCAGTTTGGCTGCTGAACCAAAACCCACCACTTTTGCACATCCCTACATCTGGATGCGTGTGTTTCAGAAGGTTTGAGTGTTTGCAGGGTACGGACAGCCTGGTGAGGGAGTAGTGCAGGTCCCAGGGGCATCTAACCTGGAGCTATAGCAGCACCCACGGGATGCTGGACTTTGTTAGGGATGACAAATGGATTACAGCATCTTAAAATCAGAGTTGAAGGGAACATTAGACCTTCACTGGGCTGTCTGAGCATGGAAAAAGCTTAGTCCAAAGCTGGGCTGGTCCTCAGCCTAACAGCTAACTTCATGACCTATTTAGGAAAATCAGCATTAGTTGATTCAAAGTCGTCTACTGGGCATTTGTACAAAAAGCATTTTATCCCTGAGGGTGGAGATGGATGGTTACTGAGGCCCTGGGGAAGTGCCAAGGGAGATTGGGTGCTCAGTGCAAGCATTTGGCCTGCCCAGTTCTTCCGAAAACCCCACTTTGCAGCAATCCAGACCTTTTAAGCACCTGAAAGCTTGACTATGTGATGGGAAGCCCTTTCTTTACATACTGAAATTACAGAAATTCAGATCATTTTCACTTAGATCTTGAAACAGTCTTATTTTTCAGAGTAAATCAATATCAACAGGTTAATGAGGATATAAAAATATATAAATATATAAAAATACCTGCTACAGAATAGCTGCCTCAGATCTAAGCCATGTGTTACAATTTTTATTATTAAGAGTTAATAATACTTTATTTACTTTAAATTTTGTATTTTATTTCAGTATTTAATTTTTATACTAATGTCTTTTTATTAAAAGAGGAAAATAAAACATTGCATTATTTTATAAATGTATAATCTTTTCTAAGAGTATTGCTTATTCCTTTTCTAGGTATAAGCAATAGTTTAGTTTTCTGCTTAAAGTAACATAGTAAAGCCTTCACTAAAGGTCTATGCAATGACAAAAAATGTTAATCTAATTATTCTTTTCTTTAACTTCCCTCTTACTGTAAGATTTCTGTAGCTGGATGCTCTGCCCCTCACTGACCTGAGTGCACAATAAGCTCTCAGGTGCTTCTTTGGGCCATGGACTTAATAACAAGATACAGCTTTTGAGATGCTGGTCTCAAATGGCCTGGATTTTGGGTGGACAAGCAATTCTGTGGGATCACATCTCTCCAAAGTGCCTTAAATTGGATACCACAAAATGCAGATGTCCAGAATTAGTTTAGCAAATCAAGATATCCGTCTTTATCTGTTTGCCTGTGAGTGCTCATGGTATTAGAGATATTGTAGTAATACAAAGAATAAATAACACTGAGCTACCTTACATCTTAACTAAGAAAGTCAAGAGGAGGGACTTGACTCCAGGGTAAGAGTGTCCACAACCCTTTCTGGTATCAATGGGATTTGAAGTGCTTCAGTTTACTGCCCTGTGCACCGAGGCTGAAGATTTGTAAAACAGAGGCAAACAAACCTTTTCCAGGGCTCTAATGCATCTGACAGCATTATCTTCTAAATGTTAAAATATGCCATAAAAAGGAAGGCTTCTTTGTTCATATTTTTATTCTTCCACCAAACGTATACTGTATCGCACTTCCTCCTGCCCCACTCCCAGCAGGTGACCACGGGAATTCTGCAACTGATTTACAAATGGTTCATTACACTACCCACACCAAATCACACCGAGTAAAAAACGCAGAAGCTTAAAATTGCCTGCCTTAATTAAAATATTTAGTAGCTCATTTAGGGGAGTAACCCCTCAAACACCACAATAAGAATGAGTTGGGACCAACAGAGCATGCAAACTCACTGCACAAGGGGCTGGCTAGTCCAAGGGAAGGTTAGTTCACCAAGTAAGAGCTTAACCTGATTTACAGTTCACCAAGCAAGAGCTTAACCTGATTCATACTAATTTGACATATATTAAAGCAACTGTTGCATCCAATATGAAATGAGGAAATCACATCACGGCACACTGGAATGCTGCTGGTTTTAAGCATCCATAGAAATGTGTTCTGATAACATACATGAAACTTCTAAGGAGATACAAACTTACTTTAAAATTTAAGGCACAAATTCCTAAGGGAAAATGCCACAAAATCAACCAGTGTTTCTTCTAATGTAAGTATTAAAAATGAACTAAGATTTGCTTAAAATCTCAGCATACCACTCCCACTACCCTACTTCTTCTCCTGCTTTTGCATCACTACCAGAGCACCAGAAACCTAAAGAACCAAAAATAGCCAGGTACCTTTCTCCAAAATAAACTGATCAAGGCTCGAGTGTATGCACCAAAAAAAGCAATACACAGGAAATTGAGAGATCCAGCTCACCTTGAAGTCCATTTCCATTTGCACTGGTGCAAGATGGTGGAGGAGAGGCTTGGGGCCTGACAACGGGAGCAAAGGCGCTCTTTTGTTTCACTGCAGAGATGACATTGGCAGGTGAGAATGAGAAAATGCCGTGTGTACTGCTACAGTTTGAAGGGAGGGTGACCGAAGAGGCTGCCATGGTAGGGCTTGACGGCACTACTGCAATAAAGCAAAAATAATCAGGACTCAGATTGAGGTTTTCACGGCAAACACGGAAAAAGAGAGTGATAGGGCCTTGCCTCTTAAAATATATATAGGTATATATATATTATAAAAAAATATATATAAAAGAAAAAAAATGAAATGCCTTGGCTTGGCCACTCTCTGGATAACAGGCAAACTCTTTTGTGTTGGACTTTTCTTACAAATTGTGCAGTCCAATTTTGTCTTTTTTTCTCTATCTGAGATTGTATTATGGCACAAACAGATCAATTTATTACAGTCATTTTTACGTCCAGCCTCCAGAGTCACCCCTCCTTTTATCCAGTAGCTCACAATAGAGGAAATCAAAACAATGCAAGTATTTGATTTTTGTAGTAAATATGAATCTATATGATGATGTGTTACCAAAAATAGACACTTACTGCCATAAGGAGAGTTAGCTGAGGAGCCATTAAGAAATCCAGGGGAACCTGGTACACCTAGATTGGGCATGCCGGCATTGCCATATCCATTCATGCTATTGCTGACTGTGTTGTAATTGGACTGCTGAGGAGTACTGCTGGGAACATATCCTCGCGGGGAAACACTGCTTGTGTTGCGACTGTAACCTACTGTGTTAGAAACCCCCCCACCCCAAAAAGATCATGTTATTTTATAATATAGACTTAGGGCTGGGGGGTTTCCTCATGCAGCATATATTACACAGTTTTAATTGATTGCACAGCTTTGCTCTAAGTTGTCTCTTACTGCCCTATCAACTCTTGCAGTTTGAGATAACCTTATCACGCCAACCCTACTTAAATCATCTGCGAGCACTCTATGTTGTCTCTCCTCTTAGCACAGACAGCCAACAAAAGCTCTCTTCGATCCAGCTGTGTCAGGTGCCTTCACGTTTGTCTTTAGGAGCAATTATCAACAGGCTCAAGTCCTGCTTTGTACCAACACACTGAATGAACTTTCAGCCTCTCCAGGCCTTCAAATGCCAGAGCTGACAAGAAAAACTTTTTTTTGTTGCATTGATTTACTTTAAAAGGCTGTTTTGGGGTCTTCATTTTATGATTGATATTTTTATACTAACAACAGGCTCGTACTTGCGTAAGGTGTAGCCATCAGTGAAAACTAATTCAAGATCAAGTTCAGAATTTTATAAGGCTTATTAGCTTGGAAATGCATTAAAAGACAATTTTTTTAGAAGAGGAAACATAGCAGAATCAGGATTTTAAACAACAATTTGTTCCTATCTGAGCAATCAATTTGATAATTATGTTGCAAGCAAAAAAAAATACGGGTTTGAGCAGAGCTAATAATCCTGTTTCCCTCCTTTCATTAGTATCAAAATTAATTTTAAATGCAATATGCCACATGCATTTTCAATTACAACAGGTAAATTAAATCAACTATTACTTTTATTAGTAACATATATGTCACACGTGCCTATAAACAAAGTATTCTAAAATCACAGACATCAAATTAGATTTATCTGTGTAAATATTCCAAAAGCAGGTGGAGATACCGAGACATAATTGTTCTCTAAAATAACACACACTTTGCATATTTACTGTGAATAATAAAGAGCTTTCTACACTGTTTGTTGGTTTTTTTTCCACTGGAGATGCTTTATGATAACAGTAAACGAAAGAACAGGAAGAATTAGATATTACGAGAAAGTTAAAGGCGGCATTTCATTACACAACTAGACATACGACTACAGGGAGAAAAAGAGGTAGAGCACAGCAGTGACACCAGCTCGGATTAATAGGGACTGGCCAAAAGCAGGCAAGAACATGATTAACTCTTGAAATGCCACCTACCTTGGTCGTTGGCTTGCGAGGTTTCGGACACATTCACTGCGAGCTGGCTGCTGAAGGAGTTGACTCCCATCATGCCGGTGTGAGCGGGAGTGTTGGCTAGAGTGGGGATCTGGTTGTGGTTGCGTGGCACGCTGTATAACGCCTCAGCAATGTCAGCTGCTCGTTTCAGGATGATTTCCTGCAAGGATAAAAAAAACAGAGGCTAATTTGCACAAATATTCCAATATTTGGAATATTGCAATATGGCAGTAACGTTAACGATCCACAGATTGATGGGAAATTATAGGGAGGGTGGGGGTTTTGCTGCTTGTTGCAGCTACACCTTCTGTTCTCCTTCTTACATACCGGAGCACTTTGCAGTTTCATGTCAACACAGTAAGTATAAAGAAATAAAGAAATTAACATAAGATTACAGTTTAGTGCTGCAAGTCATGTGAAAACAGTAACACACACTTCATTCATCCAGGGCAGTAGATGTATTTTCAGCAGTTTGCAAAACACAGTATGTTTTATCCGCTCTGTTTAGCAGATTTCTTTAGGACTTCCCATTAGTCACTGTATATCTTGGCCCGAGTTCAAGGTTATTCTCTTGCTTTAATGATTGCTTATGCTTTTGGCACCTTGCACTTAATTGTCATTTCTGATAGGCAAACTAGCGGTGAGAAGAGAATGGGAAGATGAAGCGTTTCCCTCAGAGCATTGCATCACATCAGAGTGCCCTCAAGGTGGCTGGCAAAGCCAGGCTGTGTCCAAAAAGCACATGCTGGGGCTCTGCCAGCTTTGCAAAGAGCAGGTATTGATTTACATCCAGAGGCGTGGAGACAAAGACCGTGCTGGTGACCTACCTGGTTGTTGTGGGGCATCCCGTATAGGGCTTCAACAAGGTCTGCTGCTCTCTTAAGTAATACTTCCTAGAGAAAAGCAAACAACCTGCGTTATGTTTCACTAAATGCAGCCACCATTCCAAGCAGTAAGTGCAATAACATTGGTGGCTTCTATAATTATGAGGGACCCGAGAAAGTGGTAAAATATAGCTCATGCTATATTTAGTGGATGTATTACAAAGATAGGAAGGTATTTTGTTTTGGAGGGAAATACTGTTTGAAGTCAAAGTTAGATACGAGCCTAAAAATAATATTGGGTTTTACATCCAGCTGTTCAATTATGATTGACTAGAAAAGGTGTTTGCTGCTGTAGCATGTAGCTCTCGTGCTGAATTAGTGAAATCAGTGCTTGAGGTTTAATGATGTAGTCTTATGGGTATTAAACAAACAAACACATGGTAGAGATATGAAAGGCACAGGCATCACATTTGGCTGTTAATTCCTAGCACTTTAGTGGTGAAGAACAATAAGTAATTTTCCATATCTTAATTAAACTGGCAGAGTCCTTAAAGACAACATCTCACCCCTAATTCATGCCCCAAATTTGCAAGTGAGTTCAATGCTTATTCCTCTTTATTTTGAACAATAAAGTGAATTAACTTGGGTTAATCTAGT